GAATGTTGAAATACAAGAGGGAGGGGACCCCATTATTTCCAGAAGTAGTGCTGATGAACACTGCCTCCAGCCTTTGCTACTTTACAGTGAAGCTACAAGATGCGCCCGACCACTGCCTCCCCCCTTCTTCCAGACAAAGACTTTATTATGTATCAAGACTTTTTATGTATCTATCATGCATAAAAAGTTTAGTTTGCTGTGCAGTTATAAAGAAATAAAAGATTATTCTACTCTCAAAAAGCGTCTAATAGTCTAATACAGATCCAATGAAAGAGAGGGGTTATACAAAGTAAACGCAAATAATATAACTGCATTAGGTAATAAAGGTGGCTGCCCAACAAGGGTTGGTCCAACCTTATAGAATCCTTACAAGCTTTTCTGCCCAAATGCATAGACTCCAGTTAAGGCTCGTGTTCCATTCCCAGGTCAAACCAACCACTTCTTAGCTTTGAGACCTTAAGTAGTTTACTTAACCTGACTAAGTCCTACTTCATCCATAAAATGGGGATATTAGGATCCACCTCATAGAGAAGTTAGAATAATTAAATGAGATAGAGCATATAAAGTGCTCAGCACAATGCCTGACACTTACAGCCAAATAAATGTTAATTACTACTATTATCATCATTCTGGAATTTTCAAAATGTTTCTCAAACTTTATTCTACCATTAGGTATAAATGGAGCATCAAGTTTATGAAGGAAAACTATCCACATGCATATTTCAAGCCAACCCCATACTCTCACCTTTGACTAATTCATTTATTCAGAGGGAAGAAATTACACAGAAGTTCAGATCATTTTAGATGAAGACCTTTTTCCTCTCAAAGGTGTTATATAAGCAGCATATGTGTGACATCTTTGAAGTTTATGATGTTTTTACTGTGAATACAAAAGAACCCAAAATACTGACATTTGCTTCTTCCAAGTCCCATGAATTTATTTTCATAAGACACGTGAAATATTTACGCCACTTTACTTCCACCACCTAAATCGATGAGCCATTTAAAAGAACTGGTCAAGGTCAGGCAGCAGGCTTCCAACTACAGTGGAGGGTTATCAAATCGCTTAGACTGAGATAATTCTAGTCCAAATCGCATTCAATATCCTTTGGCCCATCTTTACATCAAGTTTCAGAATGAAGTCTCTTTGAAAAGTCTTTGTAAGAACACAAGTGGTCTTCTACACTCTGACAAGCCAGGCGAGTGCACCCTAATTGAACCTCAAGGCTTCGGAGGGTGGCTGAAAGGAACAAAAGTGTTATATGCATAAAATTGAGAGGCTGCAAGGATTCAGAAGGAAAAGAGGGTCCCATAAATGATGAGCTGAAGCCCACGAAATGTGACCCATTTTAGCAGATTGAGTACCATGGTGCCACATCTAACAATTAGAGGGGAGAGTTTCAATGACAGACCTTGAGTGGCCAAAAGTGACCCTAGAGAAAAAAATCAGTAAGCTAGGAAAGGTCAAAATGTGACAGAACTGTTTTGCAAGCAGAGTGTAGGCGATACTATACAGACCATAGGAAACATATGCCAACCAACAACAAAACACTTAAGACCGAAACTGAGACACTGCTCTGAGAATAGCTGTTTGTGTTTTCTTTTTTGAATGAAATGGATTTGAAGAAGGAGGAAAAAAAAAAAACTCTGAGAGAAAACAGTGGTTATCACTAGATGATAGGTAGGAATGATTTCTATATTTTTATCTATATATGTATTGTTTTGCTATACTATATTTTCTAAATTTTCTATAATAAAAAATATATTACTTTTATCTTTAATTACAAGATTTTTTTTTTAATGAAATGGTAAGATCAGCCATCCAATTGTAGATATGGGACAATCTAAGATATTATCTGTAGATACACAAATCTCCCCCATTAGACTTTCATGGACAAGACTTTATTTTCTTGTTCATTGGAACCCCAATGTCTAGCACAGGGCCTATATATTAGCTGAACATATTAAGAACTGTTTAGCAAATGAACATTGGATGTGGCCACAAACCCAAATCCTGGTATAATCTCAGGAGGATGCAAAAGGAAATGAAGTGGCAGGGGGCTCTCCAGCCAGCATTTGACCAACATTTGACTTTGAAAGGACATTCCTTTCAAAATTGGTCCCCTGATGGGGCATATGCCAATCATCCTGATAGATACATCGGCCCACATTATAGCTTAATGTCCCTTGCTACTAAAATCTCCCAGTAAGTCCTTTCTCCTCCTCACCTGCTCCCCTCCTTTTAGCACTGCCTATAGAAGGGAGCCACGCTGTTTTGCCGGGATCTTGCCCTGCAGGAAGCTTTAGGGACCACCACTATGAGGTCCCACTTGTGTTTCTTGTAGAGATGTCCAGTCCAGCTCAACACTCTCAGAGAACCCATGGGAGAAATTAGTCTCACATCTCAGTGCCATTAAAATAACTCTTCTCAGAGCAAGTAATACATGTTAATTTTACAAAAACTAGGATCCTTTAGAAACTCAGGAGGACCTTACGACATGCATGTCTGTAAGCTAACTTTTCCTCTGGTTTCTTCTTATTATTCTTCCTTCTATATGACCCTGCTTTCTTTATCTTCGTTTTTATTTTTTTTAACTCTCATTTGGGATGACGCAGGGTATAAACACACCCAAAGAACAAAAATTAAATACATCCCCCTACCCCTAATTTCAGGCTTGCTTCAGACATTTTTACCCATGTAGCTTGCCTGCGGGACAAGAAAGTAAAGCTGAGCACCACTCTCCTTGCTGCCACCAACCAGGGGGTGAGCTTGTAAGCGCATTTGCGACAAGAAAGCGTGACTGAGGACCAGAGGCACTTTCCTTTCCACTTCCTGCCCACCGGCTCTGAATACACACGACCACGCATGTGAGCGGTGCACAGTGACATAAGGCAAAGTAACACTATGGTCAAGGGCCCAGACTCTGGAGCCAGACTACCTGGCTTCTAACCCTGCCCACTCCTCCCCATCCAGCTGCTGACCTTGGGCAAGCAACTTAACCTTTCTGTGCTTTCCTCCATTTCCCCACCTGTGCAATGGGAACAATAATGGTACTGATCTCGTACGGTTGTTGTGAGATGCGAGTTAATATACACGTAAAAGTGATTAGATCAGTGCCTGGCACACAGTAAATGTGGGACAATACTACAATAGGACAATTTTGTTTTCAATTAAGCCAGGGCACACAAAGGGTCAAGTCTAAATGAAAGTAATATTTCTCATTGTAAATTAGTAAACTAACAAACCGATTTCTATGGTGACCTTATTTGAGTTTGGATCTCATTTATAAATTAGTGTGGATTCAAAGCTCTCTCTAAACAGCCGTCATTTTCAATCGTTTGCTTTCTGCTTCGCTAAAGAGAAGGAGAAAGCAGTGGTGTCAGATAAAAATGGTTCCTGGGAGTGTATCCCCAACTGGTAACAGTATGATCGATAAATCACACCCTTGTATGCATGAGTACACGCACACACACACACATACACACGCACACACATCACTGTCAACGTCCCTCCAGCTGCAGCACAGACATCACTTAATGTCTAGAGAGAGAAAAAACCTCATGAACAGCTTCTCAGGACGTTCTTTAAAATAAAGTACTTTGTTTAGCTATCAAAAAACAACTCTGCTCTGTTGGATACTTGACGTCCTGATTTACATGAGTTTAGAAAGCTGCCACCTCCCACACAAGCACTTAAAATGCAAATTCCTCATCAGATTCCCCTTCTAGAGAAGTGGAGAGCCGGATTCTAGCCCCACCCTGTCTCTGCTCACAGCAGAGCCAAAGTCCCAGCAACTTCCTTCACAGCCACTCCACCCCACCAAAATTTAAATCTTCAGCGAATGACTATGCCACATATGTATGTACATAATTTTCTAGTAAAATGACTTGAAACTGCCACTGTATGATGGCAAAGAAAGAAACCGGATAGTCATGAAACTCGCTTGACTAAAGTTTAGAAAAATCAAGAAAAAAATTAATTACTGAAACTCTACCTCCTGCAACTGAGGTTACTTCGAAATTTGATCTAAATGGATAAATTTCAGCCTGTGCTATAACTGAAGTTACATGAGATTGGCGAAAAAAAACCTAACTATATCAGAGCCATTTATCTTCCATTTCCTAGGTTTCCCGTAATTACCTACCAAATGAACGCACGAGTTTGTTACAGTATTGAATTGAAATGCGTCAGTCCCTTTTAAATTCTCCTTTCTCCATATCACAGAAATTAGGCTAAGCATAGACTCAAAAATGAACAAGGACTACCGGCCAAGAAAACTGCTTTGAGGAACTTGGTAATCTCACCCTCTCCAGTTTACCACGCCAAATTCATTGGCGGGAGCGGAGGCAGAGGACTTGAGTTGCACGATAAAGTGACACTTCCGAATGTAACAGCCGAGATTGCTCTGCCGCAGCCTAGATTCTTCTCGCCACGAGCTCGAGGACAGAGTCCTCTAAATGCTTTTCCCAAGATCCCGAGGTCAATTTTAAACGCCGCTCCTCTCAAAAGTCCCAAAGGAGACTCGAGCGCCCACCCCACCCTGCAAGCAGCGCACTTCCCGTTCGCTCAGGCCGGTCAAGAACCCTAACTTGACAGTGACACACTGAAATAAAAGAGGAAGTGGCTAAAAGACCGAACATTTCAAGACATATTTCTTTAAATTTTTTTTAAAGGGAGATCAATGGGTCTGTCTTCCAGGAAAGCTTCAAAGGGAGGTAGCCATCACAACCCGCTGGAAAGCTGCAGCGAATGACAGGGTTGCAAAACGAGGGTGACTCCTCTTGAAACATAAAATTTTAAAAAATCCTCGAAATCCTCTTGCTATCCAAAACGATCCCTCCCCTGTAGTGAACGCAACAAAACTAACAACTCCCACCCTGGGGAGTCGGACCTCGAGAGCGAGGCTCGGGGCCGGGTACGTGCCTGGTCTGCCCTGCCAAGTGGCAGAGGAAGCGCAGGGCACCGAGGCGCCCGGGGACCCGGGGAGCAGCTCCCTTACCTGGTTTGACCGGTTTGGGTGGCGGCTTCGACATGTCGCTTCCTGGAGAGGCTGAGCCCAAAGACCACGCACGAAAAGCCGACCAAACGCCCCGCCAGCCGGCACTGCGGGCGCCCCGAAGTTTCTTTTTGTCTGGTCCGCAGCGGTGCGCCTTCCAGGACCAGCTCCGACCCCTGGCTGCCGGACCAGCGCACGCAGGCAGAGCCGCCCGG